CACTAATTGGGAGAAAGACAGACAGATACGGGGTGGGGGATGAATTTCTCCATACCTACCTTGCTACAAACCATCTTCTGTTCAAGGGCCCAAACATCTCCCTCCAAACTGTCTCTTCTGTATCCCTCATCTGTCCATCCTTCCATCCACCTTGCCTTTCTTACTGACCTCCCTGATTACTGCCCTCAGTTAGATCCATTGCCTGTGTATCCAATTTCATGTCTGAATACCATCTCGACCAGGGAAGAGAATCTCAGCACAGAGCCTGGTTAAGACCAGAGGGCCAAAGCTGAGGCTTGTTACATATGCAGGCCCGGGGCGTTTTGCCTTCTCCCTTGTAAACTCTCCACTGGCTTACTTCTTCCTCCTCACGCAGAGAGAAAAGCACTCACGTAGAGGGAGGCTTTCTCCATAGCTGCAAATTCCCTTCTCTAGTTAGCCTTCAAAAGAGCAAAACAAGCAGTTTCCCAGCACAGCTGCCATCGGGCTAGGGCCCACCGACAGCAGGCGCTGTGCACACGCACAGCTAGCTACACACTGCTCTGCTTGAGTTCAGTTGAGGCACCAGGCAGACACCACCACTGATCCACGGGCTCAACTTCTCCACTACTCACCCGGCTTTCAAAGCCTGCAGGCTAATTTACAATTCATCCCATGGTATTTTAAAATCCCTTTTGTACTAGCACCATCAAGCAATCAATTTTACCCAAAGTCATCTTCCTCATGGTGGCTGCTGTAATCTCAATTTATTTTAAGACCCACCCATTTCCTAAGTCATGAATGCATGTTACTGGAAATATGATACATGTGACTGGCTAGCATTTCAAATGGAGTTTTAGATCTAATACGCATCCCAGGCCCTGACTAATTCAGATAGACAGCACAAACCCCAGCATTATAGGCCCTTTCGTAGCACAGAGTAAGCCTGGGTGAGGCTCCAAGTTTATGCCTGTCAACATAAACTTGCCCTTGTTGCATGAATCTTAAAAGTTCTTATTAATAAAATCAAACCCGAGCCGAGTTATTGGGGTCCA